CGAAGAGACACTGCTTTCCGAATCTCAAGAGTCAAACTCCTAACAGGATTGCTTTCTCAAAAACTCGAAGAGGCACCATTCTCTGAATCTCGAGAGCCAAATCCTCGACATGATTGCTTGTTCGAAAACCAAAGATGCACTGCTCTCCGAACTTCGAGAGCCAGATTCCCTTGGATAAAGCTTGTCTGCAATCTTCACACGCAACATCAGATTTCCAGATACCACAGACCACTTTTTCAAGAAGGGTAAAAGAATAACACTACTACTTCTTGTTAGGGAGACTCCTATATATGTCGACCTCCATCCTCCACAACCAGGTAGACCTTCAAATAAAAAAAAATGCTCAACTTTTCTTCACATTCAAGAGGGCACTTTCAGCAGAGTCTCTCAAAATACTCAGCTTCTTTTCCCCCCGATAATACCTCTGCAAACAAGCCACACCAGAGCAAGAGTATCTCATATCATCAGGGTTAAAAGCAAGAGTATCCCATATCATGCTTTTTCCCTGTCTTTTCCTTTGGCCTTATTCTTACCTGCAAGACAAGGAGAAAGAGAGCAATCAGTCAGCACTTGGAATCAAGCTTCCAGTCAGGAACTGACTGCCTGTAACTCCTTGCCTGATTACTCACCTGGCATTGCTCCCGAGTACTCATCTTCAACATCTTATGCTTCCAGAGAAGATACCACATCTGCCTGAGGAACATATAGGGCAAGTGAGAAGGAAACAAGGAAGCAAGTGGAGACAAACGTAACATAACACGTGTCGATACATCCACTACTTTGTCAACAACAAAAGTATCTCATATCATCAAGGTTGAACGTACTTTAGATTTGATGGACTTGTTTTGACCCTTAAATTCTTGAGTTGGCCTTATATTCTAGAGGAAATCAGAAAACACTCCAGCCTAGTTTAAGAATAAGCATGTGGAAAGTTACTTCTTCAAAAGAAAAAGTATCTCATATCATCTCTTCTCCATTTGCTTCTCCTTATCCTTGTTGCTGTTTACGACACAAGGAGAAAGAGAACAATCAACCGGAAACCGAAGTCGAACCTCCGATCCAGGTTGCTTGCTTGGAAGTCTGATTGGTTACCTTGTATGTTACCCCATTCGGCAAATCTCCTAGCTCGGCGACTTGGGAGACTCCTACTATAGGGTTTGTATCGCACTTGAACAAGCCTGAAACTACAAGTAAGCTTCAAGTGAAATTGATACATTACCTTGTGCATCTTCATCAGTTAAAGATACCACCCTTGGATGGAGGAAAAGTACTTCCAGAAAAGAGTCCACATCTACATATGAGACAGATAAGGTAAGTGAAAATGATACCACACTTCGGTACTTAGAAGTTTCGTGATTACTCAATGGCTTGGATCTTGCAAGTCCCCAACCGAGGAACTTCCCTCACTCGGGAACTTAGGGGAGCACTATTTGTACCATACTTGACTAATCCCGAAACTACTGAGCACCGGTCAATGTTATATCGTCAAAGACCTAGAAGAGTTTCCCTCCAACCAGGAAACCTATCACAACGCGACATGTGTCGACATCAGAAGCCAATCATAGCGCAACACGTGTCAACAGCAGAAGCTAATCACAACACGACACGTATCAATGTCAGAATGAAACTAGAAACTCTCTTCTATAAATAAAGATCATTCTCTCACAATATTTCCTAATGTCATTTGTACTAAATCATTCACTAGTACTCACTAAAGGAGAGCTTGAACCTATGTACTTATGTAAACTCTTCACAATTAATAAGAACTCCTCTACTCCGTGGACGTAGCCAATCTGGGTGAACCACGTACATCTTGTGTTTGCTTCCATGTCTTTATCCATTTACATACTTATTCACACTAGTGACCGGAGCAATCTAGTGAAGGTCACAAACTTAATACTTTGTGTTGTACCAAAGTCCTTACTGATTTTGTGCCTCAACATAGTCAATTCATTGAGTATCTTAAATTTAAGGTAAATACCGACGAATCATTTGTTATGTTCTTCCTATCTGTTTATAACATCTGGTATGATATCTGTACTCTCAATAATCATAAGGACTATAGTCTTGATTGTTGTCCTCATAATTTCTACCATCATCAGTAGATAGGCTTCCGCCCCCCATTTGGTATATATATATATATATATATATATATATATATAAGATTTGATGTTATTAGCTTTTTTGGATCCTAGGGTGGGTAGAAGTTTGTTTTCAAATTCAATACTTATTGGAGAAGTACGTCATGCTAATGTGCCTTTCATGATTCACATCATATCTTATGGTACAAGATTAGGAGTATCAGATACTCTTGAGCAACGCAATGTATCTTCTATTTTACAAAGATTCTTTGATGTTCCGCAATATATGATACTCTAGGTATTTTAACCATTAAATCTTGATTTTTGTATTTTTGACCAAAGATTTATCTATTAAAAATCTGAAGTATCCGATACTTCAATGAATTGTACAGACTCTCTTTTAACTTTGAGAAAGTAACGCCATCTCCAAGAGACCCGGCCAAAGGGCCATAAGGCTAAAAATAGCTTGGAATGACACAAAAATCGTCTCCAACCGAGGGCTAGGCCAAAGGGCTTGTGGGACCCACCGAGCCAAAATCCCCAAATTAGGCCAACGGGCTGGCCATTTTCACCCAGCTAGCCCTCCAGCCTAGCCCACTTGCCCTCCAACAATTACCTAGCATTAGAATGTCAAGCATGGGTTTGTGGTAGGTGCAAGAATACCACACTTTCTTCGTTATTATGCTTCCTTTATGCAAAAGGGTGTTTCAACGGGCCATTTTCTAACTCAAGACAAACTGCAATGGAAGATCAAACAAGAGAGATGAAGGAGAAAGAGAAGTAATATGGAGAGTTACTCACTTTAGAGACAAGTGTCACTCGAAATCCTATCTGAAAAATCAGTGAGATTACATAAAGATAAGAAATCTAGAGAGTTACTCACGTTAGCGACATATGTCACTCGAAATCTTATCCGAAAAATTATTGAGATGATATAAATATAAGAAATCTGAAGGCTTATTCATTTAGCAACAAGTAACACTCAAAATATGTCCAAAAACCTTAATTTAATATAGTAGTTTAATTTAAAGGAAAAATAATGAAAATGGCTTGAAAACTTTGAGTTTTAATGATAAAGACAAAATAAAGGGTAAAGTGAATAGTACCAAGATTGACTTTTTAGTATAAAAATGTGGTTTTTCGTTAAAGTGAACAATATCGGGAGTTTTTCGTTAAAGTTCTCTTAATTTAATTAACCATATTAATTCAATTAAAATAATAATTATTGAGGGGGTTATGTTTGGCCTATGGCCTTTTGGCCCCCTCAGTTGGAGATGGTATAAAATATGGTCTGTCACTATTCATTAAAATATAATTTCTTGCAGGATTATAGGGCTAAACATGACATTTTGGCCCTCCTTCGGTTGGAGATGGCATTTGATGAAAAGCTAGTTTGAATCCCTTTACAATGCGCCCTTGAGTTTGGATAAAAACTGATTTAGCCCAACCAAATCTATATGTCTATACAAAACTCTTCCGAACTCTAAAAAATAATAATAAAAAACATTTTCGGACAACCAAATAATTTAGCCATTTACGTAAATGCTGCAACTCAAAATGAATTACATTTTGGGCTAATTACACTAAACACCCTTGGAGATTAACCGTGTTTTCACAAAATCCCCTCAAGTTTGAGAAATTACACTGCACTTTAACATCACCTCCTTAAAGATGAATTTACCCTTATGGTTAATTATTGAAAATAAAAAAATTATTTACAATAAACAGGAAAAGAAATTAATGGTGTTTCATGTAATTTTTTAATTTGACATTTTTTTGGACTTCTTTTTTATTGGGTAATGCTTGGGAACTAAATTTTTTAAATCAAATTTATAAATTAAATGATGTAGTTGTAGATTATTGGATTATTAATTAAGTGTCGATTAACGTGTTTTTTTTTCTTATTGATGACACGTTCATTTGGTTTAAAAATATGATTTTCCTAGTATTTCATTTTTATTTTCAAGTATTAAATGCAAGAGTAAATTCGTTTTTAATTGGTAATACGAAAGTAAAGTAAAACTGTAGCGGTTGTTAGAGTAATTGTTCAAATGTCAAGGGTTTTCCAAGAAACGCGATGAATTTCACGTGGTGTTAATATAATTAATCCTCTGTATTTTTAAGAGGTTTCAAGTGCAACGACGTCATGCGACTCTCTCTCTCCAACGGCAAATTTTGATAACTAGTCATATTTTGTACCACAAATTAATTTTTAGCCTACCTTTTACAATTCTTACAAATTTAACAAAAAAATCATGTAAAACTTCTAAATTGCCCCCTCTCCTCTCGTCTCTTTCCCCTCTCTTCGGCTCCCCACCCTGTCTCTTCTCCCAAATCCAGTTAGGCACTCATAACTTATGTAAAGAAACATATGTGGCATACCTGAGATTGGCAATGGTAGTAAAACAACTTGTAATCTGAAAGTTTCCTGCAAACAAAAGAAAATTACTACTACACTGTTACAATTTGCAGACAACTAGTTGCTTCTCAACAACTTGTGAATTACTACCTTAATTAGCAAGCTCTTATGTGCACCAATAACATGCAACTAGAACTTCACCGGCTGCGCAGTATGTAAAAAATATGACATGCAGCTAATAAGTAGCATCATAATAGTAGAATATGACGACTTTTCTAATTGAAGAAATTACGAGGGAAACAAAAAGGAAATGGTTTACAAAAAATGAGCTCTCAAAATACGCAGAAATGCTTTAATGGAAGCAAATTAGAACAACCCATGATTCGTATTTTTGGAAATCTTCTATCATCGTACGGAGAGAGCGAGATATGGTAGTGGTGCCGGTCACAGCGGGTGCGCGGTGGTGGTGGATTTGGAGAAAAGACAGGTAGGGTGGGTGCGTCGGTGGTGGTGGATTTGGAGAAGAGACAGGTAGGGTGGGGTGGGATGGGATGGGTTGGTGGGAGTCGAAGAAAGGGGGAAGAAGAGACAAGGAATGGAGGGGCAACTTAGAACTTTTGTATGGATTTTTGGTTAAATTTGTAAGATCGCAAAAGATAAGCTAAAAATCATTTTTTGGTACAAAATATGGTAGTTTTCAAAGTCTCCCCTCCCCAACGCCGCGAGCTCCACCTCCCTCCCTCCGTCGTGTCCGTCTGTCAAATGCATAATTCGGTTGATAAATTTCAGAAATCCTCCATGAAAATCTTTCACGCTTTCAGATTTTCTTTCCAAAATTTTGAGAACTGAGTTCAGTTCGAATCCCAGCCCCACAAAAACTCAGCTTGCTGAGACAAGTTGGGAATCTGTAATTTTCCCTTTCCAGGTACCCCCTCTCTCTCTCTCTGTTTGTCTGTCTAAATTTTGGGTGTTCTCTCTTCAATCTTATGCTTTTTATTTTTCCTTGTAATTTCTAGATTTTTAAGAATTGGGTGGAAACCCAGAAGAAGAAGAATTGAAGGGAATGGAGGATTCATATTCTGTTTGCAGCCCCAGAAGAATCCTGAGTGTGTCAAAGAAGAGGAGGGCAACTGTGTCATTTGTGGATCCAGATGATAAGGCTTCTGGGTTTCATGGCCCCAAGCCTTCTGAAGTCTATGGCTTTGTTGGTTCCATCACTACTGTTGTGGCTACAGGTCCCCTTCTTCATCTTCCAATCAGTGTTTAAAATATCGGTATCGGTGGAAACATCGATATGCAAATTTCTGGAAATAACGCAAATTTGTGAAAATTTCAAACACTGCTTCCAATCTTCATTCTTTTTCAGTTCGGAAAACAAATACTTGTTTTAATTATATTTCTTTATTTTGGGTATACTGTGTGTTGTGCTGTTATGTTAGCAGTTATATTCTTGGTGTGGGCATATGTTCCTGAGTCTTGGCTGCATTCCATTGGGATCTTTTACTATCCCAGCAGGTCAGTGCCCTCTGGTTTCACTTTCAATCGTTTGTGTTTATTAAGTTTTCGTTCAAGATGGTTATCCTCCATCGATTCCATTGTTTTGTTTGTCCAAATGATTAGATGATTAGCTTCTTGCAACTTTGAGAATGTTTGTCATGGTTTGAGAAATTTATAGTCATTTGGGTCGGTAACAAGAACTTTGCGCTATGAATCAGAAATTAGGGTCTTTTGGGGAATTCGTTATAAGCGCTTTGGTTAGGAGCGCTAATATTGAAAGCAAGATGAAATTGTTTATAAAAATTCCAAGTGTTTACTGAAAAAGCTCTTGGAAGTGTTTTTGCATCCATGGAAAAAGGAGGATGCACTATGACGTTTGGTTAAATCGACCCCCTTCCTCCTTGGTTCATGTTTTGTTAAGGGATGGTTTGCCATGTCCACCGTTGAGCACTGTCTAGTCCGGTAGTTTTTTTGGGGTTGACGTCTTAGCATATTGCAACGTCTTCTATCTTGCCAACCTTTATCGTCTGTTTTATCTTTTTCTGTTCCCTGTGGCTTTAGCTTCCTGGCTTTTCAATGAAGTTGCTGTCTGTTAAAAAATAACTGAAAAAGCACTTTGAAGTGCTTCCTCTAGATAGCACTATGCTTTTGTAACCCATAAGCATTTTTTACTTTTTGTTGCCAAACAGTCAGAAGCAGATTTAACCATTAGAAAAGCACTTCCTAACAAAGTAACAAGATTGCTCTTTTGAATTTATGGTACTATTTTCAGGTATTGGGCATTGGCCGTGCCAGCTTACGCTATGATGACATTGGTATTAGCACTGGGATTTTACTGTGGCCTCAACTTCATGTCCACCCCTCCCCCTTCTTCCTTATATACTGTTTACGGTGAGAGTTGATAGCCTTCCCTTTTGTGATCAGAATTTTGGGTCGTGGTTCCAGGCTTTCAGTTCATTGTTTTGATCTAGTTATGTGTGACCTTCCATTTTCTTTTGCAGATGAATTCAGTAGGGATCCTTTGAGCTCTGCTCCAATTGGTGACGATGATCAGCCCATAGAACCCATATCCGATATCAGCATTGACAGAGTCAATCGTTCCATGTTTAAATAACACGAGCAACCTTGGAGGGAATGGCAACCTGTACCCAACTCTCTATTTTTTACCCAGGTGCTGTATTGCTTTCGAATTAATTGATTCTTTGGTTAAGCAAAAGGCAGTCCATTGATTACAGCAGAGGAATACGCCTACTGGAACAGGAAAAAACTAGAAAACAGAGTTTAGCTGCAACCGGCTAGGGCTCAAGTCTCAACCGAGTCTATAAACAGAGAATACGTGGGTTTTTTTTCCGGTTAATACAGAGAATATGTTTTCAATATACAATGAAGAGAACATACTCTCAAGCATAAAGAAGCGCCGCGCTTAAATCGTTAAATGCAATGTTCTACCTCATATTGTGAATACTCATGATTTTACTGGTGAAAAGGATCGATATGACGCAACTCATTTTTTCCCCGGGTGAATGCTTGCGTATAATTTCGTTCATTTTTGCTGTCTTGGTCGCAAATGAAATTGATTCCCAATTGTATCGTCAAATTTATCGTCAAGTTTGAAGAGACAAGGCGTGAACAAGAGAAATTCTAATATGCATTAAGCGTTGCAAGAGGCTTTGGCAAAGTATGCATCCATTACTGCGATTGAGAAAATTTTTTAGTGCAATAGCGTCGTCCAACTAACATGTTCTTAGTTACTGTCCAAGAAAATGTGTAATGTTTCAGTACTCCCTTCTAACATACGTACTCGAGGAATTTAACTCAGCTTCTCCGAATCATCTTGGCTGCCTAAATAGATCATCACGATCACAAGTGGACCAAACAATCCGAAAAGTCAGCAGTGTGTGTATATATACAAGCACTTGCCTTGGATGCTGCAGGTCTTCAGACTTCCGCTTGTTCGGAAGCAGAATACTGACAATTGGCTTCTCTTTCTTGGGGATGGATCACATTCGTAAACGAATTGTCACTCCACGAGAAGCAACCACCGATATTTTTCAACTTCAGAATTTGCTCTCAAGTAACAACTTCAAGCTTTTCTTGGTTGCTTTCTTGAACTTGGATCCTTCATCTGTGAATCTAGCATCTCATGCACTCTAATCTTCAACTGCAGCGCAAACATCCAAGTGCGAATTGTTAGTTGACAAGAAAATACTTCTGTTTCCTATTTAATTGGTATGAAACTACAAACACCGAGCAAGAAGTTCATAACGAAGCAGAGCACATAATCGCATAATACAAGAGATGGCCAATTTAAGTTTCCAAAGGCCGGGTATAAAGCTTCTTTATCCCTTTTTGGAAAGTTCAAAAACAACCGAGCTCAAGGCTTGAACGCTCAACACTATATTTGGAGAGTGAACGTATGATATAAAGATTACCTCGGTGAGCCCTACTTCATTCGTCACTGACACATAAATAGCTCCATCGGGACCCAATTTCCGGTACCTTTCCAACTTAAGATCAGAATCATCACCATTATCAGTGGCAAATAGCACAGGAGACTTTTGCAACAGATCACATTTGGACACAACATCAAGCCACAAATGTTCACCAAACCTCTCCCTTATTTCTTTGTATATGACAAACTGCATGGTCGTCATAGAAAACCATGAATTTAATATACTGCAAAGGAAGAACAAAAGCACAACAGTGAAGGGGGAATTATTTCTACAGAGGTGAATTACCATAAAAAAAGTAACTATACTTATTTCTCAAACATCGCTCAATCTGTTGTGAGATTAATCCCTTCCATTTTAGTTAATTCAATTTAATGCCATTAAAACTATGTTTCACGTCTTGTAATGAATCCAGTAGTCGTACATAAAACCACGCAATACCTGGTCAGAAGGTGAGGTCCCGCATTCCCCAGAGAGGTCATGGACATAGAGAATTGCGGTCGGTAAATGTGAGAGGACAGCAAGTGTCAATTTTTCCAAATTATTTCTGTCCTCTGAAAGATTCAAGAAAAAAAAAGGAAATGCAATGACAACCAATCGAGCAACAAAAAATATAAGCACCAACCACAACCACAGACAAGCTGAAAATAAAAACTTATCATAACATATCTTGACCACAATCAGTCATGTAACTGAAAAAAAATGTACCAATGAGTGGTGAAGAAACATTTTCTTCTTACCGAACCCAAATAACCTATGTCATTATACTGAAAACGAACCTCAATGCAAAGGAAACCAAGGCATACACAGGACAAGAATTTCCAATAGCATACACACACACACACACACTACACCCAAGTGGTGCTTTAACCGGAGTAGGATAACAGTGACAAGAATTTCCAGTAGTATACCTTTCCTCCGATGCAGTGTCAAATATACTAGTATGTATTACCAGTTTCCAACTTTTGATATCGTCCAAAAGCCTATCCAGTGGAAAACAAAACTTGTATGCCAACCATTAGAGGCGAAGAAAACTTATTATTCTTTGATCATGTGTTGTCAAATCATATTATTGCATATATATGGTCCATAAAGGATTTGCATTAGAAGCACAAGTTCCTACGTTTTTCATATACAAATTAACTTATACAAAACTGAAATGAGACAGTTCTGAACAAACTCAAGTCAAGTTCCCCAGATAGGGTTAACTTTGAGAGACAATGAATTAACTGATTGCATAAATTTGGAGTGTTGTAATGACTTGAAAATTATATGCACGCAGAGTAAAAAGAAAGAAATTGGTTTCCCTATGCTCTGTTGGAGTTATCCTCAAAGTTACTAGTCATATTTGAACCAAAATCCTGTCGGACCTGATATATTTGATCAGACTCTAAACCAAGTTCCATTTACTCAAACGAGTCAGCAATGGTCATAAATACGTCATAACAGTTCATTCAACAATGTACCATAATTGCTTGTGTTTTCAGAAGGGGCCAGTGTGTCAACCAACTATATTAAATTTTGGCATTTAACATCGACATTTTGCATATTGGATCAATGAGTGCAACAATTAAACATAACCACACTATAAGATACCTACAACTAGCAAATGGCAGTCACTTACCATCACATCTCTTCAGCAGGCCAGGAGTGTCTGTCACCTGTAGTCAACTTCTAGATATAAATTAAGACTGAAAATCAAGAATATATATCATTCTAAATATTAGAGAAATTGTCCAACCTGAAAAGTTTGATGGTTTGATATAATATGACCCATTAGTATTCCTCTTGTTGTGAACGGGTAGTTGCAGACCTAAAAGTAAAGGAAAGAAAAAGGTGAGATAAAGACAATGGAACTTGGTGCATCCAGCACCAAAAGAAAAAGAAAAAAATAATAAATAAATAAATAATAATAATAATAATAAAAATGCATAGAGAGAAATAGAAGGTCCATTTTATTTATTTTTCTGGAAATTTTACATAAATTTGCATTATACATACTTTAAAAAAAAAAAAATCAAATCAAATCAAATTTACAAGAGGGGATCTTCAAGGACGATCAGGTGCTGCCTCACCACTCGGCAGAGCTCCAGAAATGAAAGGCGCCGGAGGTTGACTGTTTGAAGTCACACCACTCCGCGGAACTCCAGGAAGAAGATGAGCCAAAGGTTGATCATTTGGAACTTCATTACGCGGTACAGCCCCAGAAGACGAAGGCAATAAATGCCTTTGGAACAAACCCACAAATCTCTGATGATCAAGTAAAACCTGACCATCAGTTTCCTTCATCTGGTCAAGCTTCCTCTTCATGTTTGTAGCATAGTCATGTGCGAGCCGGTGCAACTGTTTATTCTCATGCTTGAGCCCTCTAATCTCCTGTTTGAGACTCATCACTTCAGCCGCCAATGATTCAACTTGGCGGGTTCGAGCAAATAGGCGTTGGGCCATATTAGACACAGAACCTGCACACTGAACACTGAGAGCCAGCGAATCCTTAACAGCTAACTCATCAGACCGTTTGGAAAGTAGTCTGTTATCTTTGGGAGTGAGAAGGTTCCTGGCCACCACCGCAGCGGTCATATCATTCTTCATCACGGAATCCCCAACGGTAAGAGGACCAGTTGGGGAGACGAAGGATGGGCGCCATATGTTGTCTGGAGAAGGCGGGGCTGCCTCTTCAACAAGGTTCAAGTCAAAACGACGGTCGGAGGGGCCAGACATTTTCAAAGGTGTTGAAGAGAGAAGAGGTCGGACAAATCAAGATCTTAGAAGTGCAAGAATGAAGCTTCTACTGGTGGAGATTCAAGTGTGCTTTGGAACTTAATGCCAGCCTCTATAAAAATCTGCACTCGACGGAGCTTCAGAAATCAAAGAGGCGCCTGCTCAGAAATCGAAGAGGCGTTTGCTTTCTCAAAAGTTGGGCTGCTTAGAGATCACGAGGGTTGATCTCAGAAATCGAAGAGCCGTTTGCTTTCTCAAAAGTTGGGCTGCTCAAAGACCACGAAGGCCGATCTCAGAAATCGAAGAGGCGCTCGCTTTCTCAAAAGCTGGGCTCCCTAGAGACCACGAGGGCCGATCTCAGAAATCGAAGAGGCACCTACTTTTCCAGCCTTGTCAGCATCTGTCACACGCACACTCAGCTTTGCGGAAATTATGGGCATTATGTCAAAGACTTCTGGGGAAGTAGAAAACACATGAATCTTACTGTTCAATCACCCACTTCCCACACGCAACAATAGCTCATGGGTACCACAGATAACTTTGCCAAAGTTCTCTGCCAAAGTTGAGCACGTGAAGCTTGCAGCTCCCACTACATCGCTCTGACCAAGAAGGGTAAAAGAATAGCAAAGAAATAGCACTAACAAAGTTTAGACCCATAAATTTTGAAGGTCTAGCTACCATATTATTACCCACAAGGGTAAAGGAACAGTACCACTGCTGGATAATTGGAAAGTCCCTGTATGTCAACCTCTGTGCTTCGTGGCAAGGTAGACTAGCAAACATGCCCAACCTTTACTCACATTCGAGAAAACACTCCCAATAAGATTGCTTGCTCCAAAATCGAAGAGGCACCGTCCTCCGAATCTAAAGAGAGCCAGACTCCCAACATGACTACTTTCTTAAAAATCGAAGAGAGGGTAAAGGAACAGTACCATTGCTGGATAATTGGAAAGTCCCTGTGTGTCAACCTCTGTGCTTCGTGGCAAGGTAGACTAGCAAACATGCCCAACCTTTACTCACATTCGAGAAAACACTCCCAACAAGATTGCTTGCTCCAAAATCGAAGAGGCACCGCCCTCCGAATCTCGAGAGCCAGACTCTCCCCAACATGATTACTTTCTCAAAAATCGAAGAGAGACACTGCTCCCCGAATCTCGAGAGCCAGACCCCCAGCATGATTGCTTTCTCAAAAATCGATGAGGCATCGTTCTCCGAATCAATCGAAGAGGCGCTCGCTTTCTCAAAAGCTGGGCTGCTCAGAGACCACGAGGGCCGATCTCAGAAATCGAAGAGGCACCTACTTTTCTAGCCTTGTCAGCACCTGTCACACGCGCACACTCAGCTTTGCAGAAATTATGGGCATTCTGTCGAAGACTTCTGGTGAAGTAGAAAGCACATGAATCTTACTGTTCAATCACCCACTTCCCACACGCAACAATAACTCATGGGTACCACAGATCAACTTTGCCAAAGTTCTCTGCCAAAGTTGAGCACGTGAAGCTTGCAGCTCCCACTACATCGCTCTGACCAAGAAAGGTAAAAGAATAGCAAAGAAACAGCACACTAACAAAGTTTAGACACATAAATTTTGAAGGTCTAGCTACCATATTATTACCCACAAGGGTAAAGGAACAGTACCACTGCTGGATAATTGGAAAGTCCCTGTGTGTCAACCTCTGTGCTTCGTGGCAAGGTAGACTAGCAAACATGCCCAACCTTTACTCACATTCGAGAAAACACTCCCAACAAGATTGCTTGCTCCAAAATCGAAGATGGCACCGTCCTCCGAATCTCGAGAGCCAGACTCCCAACATGACTACTTTCTCAAAATCGAAGAGAGGGTAAAGGAACAGTACCATTGCTGGATAATTGGAAAGTCCCTGTGTGTCAACCTTTGTGCTTCGTGGCAAGGTAGACTAGCAAACATGTCCAACCTTTACTCACATTCGAGACAACACTCCCAACAAGATTGCTTGCTCCAAAATCGAAGAGGCACCGCCTTCCGAATCTCGAGAGCCAGACTCCCAACATGATTACTTCCTCAAAAATCGAAGAGACACTGCTCTCCGAATCTCGAGAGTCCAGACCCCCAGCATGATTGCTTTCTCAAAAATCGAAGAGGCATCGTTCTCCGAATCTCGAGAGCCAGATACCACAGACCACTTTTTCAAAGTGCTCTGACAGAGTTAAAACATGTGAAACTGGCAGCTCCCACTACCGTGCTATGACCAAGCAGGGTAAAGGAATAGCATTACTACTTGTTGTTAGGGAGACTCCTATATATGTCGACCTCCATCCCCAACGGACAGGCAGACCTGCAAAAATGCTCAACCCTTCATCATATCTGAGAGGGCACTCCCAACAAAGCCTTTCGAAATATTCAGCTTTCTTTCCCCCCGATAATACCTCTGCAAACAAGCTATACTAGAGCAAGAATATCTCATATCATCAGGGTTAAAAGCAAGAGTATCCCATATCATGCTTTTTCCCTGTCTTTTCTTTTGGCCTTGTTTTTACCTGCAAGACAAGGAGAAAGAGAGCAATCAGTCAGCACTTGGAATCAAGCTTCCAGCCAGGAACCCCTTACCTGATTACTTACCTGGCATTGCTCTCGAGTACTCATCTTCAACATCTTATGTTTCCAGGGAAGATTCCGCATCTGCTTGAGGAACAGATAGGGCAAGTGCGAAGGATACAAGGAAGCATGTGGAGACAAGCGTAACAGCACACGTGCCGATACATCCATTACTCTGTCAAAAGCAAAAGTATCCCATATCAGCAGGGTGGAACGTACTCTAGATTTGATGGACTTGTTTTGACCCTCAAATTCTTCAGTCGGCCTTATACTCTGGAGGAAACCAGAAAACCCTCCAGCTCAGTTCAAGAATAAGCCTGTGGAAAGTTACTTCTTCAAAAGCAAAAGTATCTCATATCATCTCTTCTCATTTTTCTTCTCTTTATCCTTCATGCTGCTGCAAGATGGGGAGAAGGTGAACAATCAGTCGGAGCTCTGATTGCTTACCTTGTCTGTCACCTCTTTCAGCAGACCCCCTAGCTCGGCGACTTGGGGGACTCCTACTACATGGTTTGTATCGCGCTTGACCAAGCCTGAAACTACAAGTAAGCTTCAAGTGAAATTGATACATTACCTTGTGCATCTCCACCAGTTAAAGATACCACCCCTGGATGGAGGAAGAGTACTTCCAGAGAAGATGCCACATCTACCTATGAGACAGATAAGGCAAGTCAAGACGACACCACACTCCGATACTTAGAAGTTTCGTGATTACGAGATCATTCTCCCACAATATTTCCTAATGTCATTTGTACTAAATCATTCACACTCGTACTCACTAAAGGAGAGAGCTTGAACCTATGTACTTGTGTAAACCCTTCACAATTAATGAGAACTCTTCTATTCCGTGGACGTAGCCAATCCTGGGTGAACCACGTACATCTTGTGTTTGCTTTCCTATCTCTATCCATTTATATACTTATCCACACTAATGACCGGAGCAATCTAGCGAAGATCACAAAAAGCGACCGTTTTCGTTACCTAGGATCTATCTTGCAAGAGAACGGAGAATTAGATGGAGATCTCAACCATAGAATACGAGCTGGATGGAAAGAGTGCATCCGGCGTGTCGTGTGACCGTCGTAGGCCACTGAAGCTCAAGGAAAAATTTTATAGGACGGCAATAAGGCCAGCGATGTTGTATGGCAGAGAATGTTGGGTGGTGAAGCATCAACACGTACACAAAATGGGTGTAGCGGAGATGAGGATGCTTCGTGGGATGTGTGGGCACACGAGAAAGGATAAGATTGGGAATGAGGATATCCGAGGTAAAGTAGGAGTAGCCGAAATTGTAGGAAAGATGAGAGAAAATCGGCTCTGGTGATTTGGACATGTGCAAAGAAGGCCGACTGACGCTCCGGTTCGAAGATGTGACTACGGGACAGAGGTTCAGGGCCGAAGGGGTAGAGGAAGACCTAGGAAAACTTTGGAAGAGACTCTAAGAAAAGACTTAGAGTACTTGGATCTAACGGAGGGCATGACACAAAACCGAGCGCAATGGCGTTCTAGGATTCATATAGCCGACCCCACTTAGTGGGAAAAGGCTTTGTTGTTGTTGTACAGAAACAGATGCTCAATTGGGCCAGCCACAAATATCATTCGATGCATACAGGAGCTGCTCAACAGACTCTAGATTCACAGTACAACTTCCATGGTACTAAGTCAACATCCCAAATACCAAACCCAACCTCACCCTAGTATACCCCGAACCAAAAGATATTAAACTAAAGGAATGTAGAATAACATTGTACACAGAACACCAAATAAGAAAACCCCTGCTCTCTGAAACACATTTTCCTTCAACACGATTAACTTCTAATCCTCTCCGAAAAGAAAGGTAAAAGGATTTAAATCATGAGTCTCCATTGTAGTTACTACTACCACGTCAAAAGTCTTAAACATATTATGCAAATTTCTTTGATGATAAAGATCATACGTACTTATAGAAGTGAAGTATCAATGGGAAAAATTTTTTCCCCTCTAGGGACACTGAATAATAATATATAATATAATGCAACCAGCTTGAATCCTACAGATGATCACCAAAAGTTTTATTAAGAAAGAAATCATTTTGATAATTTTCTCTCGGCCACTCCACTTTTGGTATTCCTTTGCATTTCTCTTTTTTCGGATTTCCATTCATTCATTTTGATTATTAATGGGTTTCAACACACCACCAATGGAGTCCCATTCGAAATATCCTTCTGGAAATATATAAAAAAATACCAACTCCAATAGCAATATTCAAGGTTCCTAATTGCTGAAGCAAATTAAATCATACAATTGACCAATCTAGCCACCATTCATTCAACTTGTCTCATTAACACCTTTATTGGCTATTTTTCTGCAAAAAGAACATATTTGTCATGGAAATTGTGGATACCTCAGGCTTCCCAGTGGAGAGTATACGAACCAAAGATGACTTCCCAACATTAGGAGCTCCAACAAGACAAAGTGTTGGTGCTTCCAGATCAACTACTGGCATTGCTCGCAGAGTCTGCAAGTATAAATGGTTAAAACAGACAGGCTTTCAAAAGGGGGAAAAAAGCACCATGACTAAACAAACCAGAGTTGCATAAATCAACCCAATAAAGGTTCTAAAATGCATTCCTAAACAAGGCATGGATCCACAGAGAAAACGTTTTTAATTATAATTGAACGTATGATGCAACCAGGTAGTATGATTTCTTTTCCTTCTTTTTTCTTAGAGGTAGGGAAATTTAGACAAGTCTGTCGAACTGGAGTTATAACCTTGATTTGGGCATTTGTTGGATTAATGACCCTCCTATGTGGATTAGTTCTGTGCTGATGGATGACTTATTTGGGGTTTCTAGGCCTCGGAACATTTGTAATTCTGATGTTGTGTAGTTTCTTTTGGGGTGTTTCACCCCTGTTGTTTGCCAAAAAAACAAAAATTAGACAACTAAAAATGGTACAAAATTTAGTGATAAAAATGATAGGCTACACATACTTTTTTCTTCTACAGAGCATTAAATTAAGAGAACTTTAACGAAAAGCACCTGATACTGTTCACTTTAACGAAAAACCACATTTTTACACTAAAAAGTCAATCCTGGTACTATTCACTTTACCCTTTATTTTGTCCTTATCATTAAAACTCAAAGTTTTCAAGCCCTTTTCATTAGTTTTCCTTTTAAATTAAAGGAAACTGAATGATACAAATTTTTCCTGACATAAATTTTTATAGAATATTGAAAATCTTGTGGTGCAAGATCAGATTCTCAGACGCCATATCTATAAAATATCAAAAACATAGATATGATGTGTATTGAAACAATTAAATAGTTAATTAACTATCATAATACACTATACATGTCATGCCTTCCTTAAGTTCAAATGAAAAATGAAAAACCCAAAACAAGAACCACTATAGAACCAAGTTCAGAAAGCAAAGTACCTTGGCTATGTGTAGCAAATCATCAACATGTTTTCCTTCACGATTAAATGTCTCTTCAACTTTCTTTATACCCTGGAGAGATAGTGGTAACAGAGTAAATATCTATCCGCACAGCTGAAATGGAGTTTTTCTTTTTTGGGTAAAGAATAGAAATGACCTCAGTTAGTCTTGCCTCTGCTTCCTTCTTCGTCGTTGACTGCCACAAAATATACAAGCCTTTGTTAAATATTGTCTCTAGAATTAATAAATTACTTCCAAATTTTTTATTTTTTTTCTTATGTTTTAATCTAGGCTAGGATCCCGAGCATTTTGCATATGCGAAATTCCAACGGTGATAAGAGATTAAAAATGGACTAGGGATACAACAACAACAACAAAGCCTTTTCCCACTAAGTGGGGTTGGCTATATGAATCCTAGAACGCCATTGCGCTCGGTTTTGCACATGTCCAAACCCATTTTGTGTACGTGTTGATGCTTCACCGTCCAACATTCTGTGCCATACATCATCGCCGGCCTTATTGTCGTCCTATAAAATTTTCCCTTGAGCTTCAGTGGCCTACGACCGTCACACAACACGCCGGATGCACTCTTCCACTTCATCCATCCAACTTGTATTCTATGGTTGAGATCTCCATCTAATTCTCCGTTTTTTTTGCAAGATAGATCCTAGGTAGCGAAAACGGTCGCTCTTTAGTATTACCTAATCTCCGATCCTCGCCCCTAACTCATTTTGGCCTCCATTTGCACTGAGCTTGCACTCCATATATTCTGTCTTTGATCGGCTTAGGCGAAGACCTTTAGATTCCAATACTTCTCTCCAAAGGTTAAGCTTCGCATTTACCCCTCATGAGTTTCATCTATCAACACTATATCATTTGCGAGAAGCATACACCAAGGAATATCATCTTAAATATGTTCTGTTAACTCATCCATTACCAACGCAAAAGGGTAAGGACTTAAGGATTGTTGATGCACAAAATCAGTGAGGACTTTGGTACAACAGAAAGTATTAAGTTATTGCTTTGGTCATTAGTGTGAATAAGTACGTAAAAGGATAGAGACAGGAAAACAAACATAAGATGTACGTGGTTCACCCAGATTGGCTACATCCACGGAGTAGATGAGTTCTCATTAATTGTGAAGGGTTTACACAAGTACATAGGTTCAAGCTCTCCTTTGCTGAGTACAAATGAATGATTTAGTACAAATGACATTAGGAAATATTGTGGGAGAATGATCTCGTAATCATGAAACTTCTAAGTACCGAAGTGTGGTATCGTCTTCACTTGCCTTATCTGTCTCATAGGTAGATGTGGCATCTTCTCTGGAAGTACTCTTCCTCCATTCAGGGGTGGTATCTTTAACTGGTGGAGATGCACAAGGTAATGTATCAATTTCACTTGAAGCTTACTTGTAGTTTCAGGCTTGGTCAAGCGCGATACAAACCATGTAGTAGGAGTCCCCCAAGTCGTTGAGCTAGGGGATCTGCTGAAAGAGGTGACAGACAAGGTAAGCAATCAGAGCTCCAAGCAATCAGTCCCAGATCAGAAGTTTGATTTCGAGTTCCGGCTGATTGTTCTCATTCTTCCTATCTTGCAGGTAGCATGAAGGATAAAGAGAAGAAAATGAGAATAGATGATATGAGATACTTTTGCTTTTGAAGAAGTAACTTTCCACAGGCTTATTCTTGAACTGGGCTGGAGGGTTTTCTGGTTTCCTCCAGAGTATAAGGCCGACTGAAGAATTCGAGGGTCAAAACAAGTCCATCAAATCTAGAGTACGTTCGACCCTGCTGATATGGGATACTTTTGCTGTTGACAAAGTAGTGGATGTATCGGCACGCGTTCTGTTACGTTTGTCTCCACATGCTTCCTTGTATCATTTTCACTTTCCCTATCAGTTACTCAAGCAGATGTGGTATCTTCTCTGGAAGCATAAGATGTTGAAGATGAGTACTCGAGAGCAATACCAGGTAAGTAATCAGGTAAGGGGTTCCAGGCAGTCAGTTCCTGACTAGAAGCTTGATTCCAAGTGCTGACTAATTGCTCTCTTTCTCTTTGTCTTGCAGGTAAGAACAAGGCCAAAGGAAAAGACAGGGAAAAAGCATGATATGGAATACTCTTGCTTTTAACCCTGATGATATGAGATATTCTTGCTCTGGTGTAGCTTGTTTGCAAAGGTATTATCGGGAGGAAAGAAAGCTGAGTATTTCGAGAGGCTTCGTTGGGAGTGCCCTCTCAGATATGAGGAAGGGTTAAGAATCTTTGCAGGTCTGCCTGTCCGTTGAGGATGGAGGTCGACATATATAGGAGTTTCCCTAACAACAAGTAGTAATGCTATTCCTTTACCCTACTTGGTCATAGCACGGTAGTGGGAGCTGTCAGCTTCACGTGTGTCAGAGCACTTTGAAAAAGTGGTTTGTGGTATCTGGAAAGCTGATATTGCGTGTGAAGATTACAGACAAGCTTTATCCAAGGAGATCTGACTCTTGAAATTGAGAAAGCGGTGCCTCTTCGGTTTTCGAACAAGCAATCCTGTCGGGGATCTGACTCTCGAGATTCGGAGAACGGTGCCTCTGCGATTTTTGAGAGAGCAATCCTACTGGGAGTCTGGCTCTCAAGATTCGGAGAGCGGTGTCTCTTCGATTTTTGAGAAATTAATCATGTTGGGAGTCTGGCTCTCGAGATTCGGATAACAGTGCCTCTTCGATTTTGGAGCAAGCAATCTTGTTGGGAGTGTTTTCTCGAATGTGAGTAAAGGTAGGGCATGTTTGCTAGTCTACCTTGCCACGGAGCACAGAGGTTGACACACAGGGACTTTCCAATTATCCAGCAGTGGTGCTGTTCCTTTACCCTTGTGGGCAATAATATGATAGCTAGACCTTCAAAATTTATGTGTCTAAACTTTGTTAGTGCTGTTTCTTTGCTATTCTTTTACCCTTCTTGGTCATAGCGATGTAGTGGGAGCTGCAAGCTTCACGTGTCTAAACTTTGTCAGAGATCTTTGGCAAAGTTATCTGTGGTACCCCTGAGCTGATGGTGCGTGTGGAAAAGTGGATGATTGAACAGTAAGATTCACGTGCTTTCTACTTCACCAGAAATCTTCAACAGAATGCCCGTAATTTCAGCAAAGCTGAGTGTGCATGTGACAGGTGCTGACAAGGCTGAAAAAAGCAGGTGCCTCTTCGATTTCTAAGATCGGCCCTCGTGGTCTCTGAGCAGCTCAGCTTTTGAGAAAGCAAGCCTCTTCAATTTCTGAGATCGGTCTTCGTGGTCTTTGAGCGGCTCAGCTTTTGAGAAAGCAAACGCCTCTTCGATTTCTGAGATCGGCCCTCGTGGTCTCTGAGCAACCCAGCTTTTGAGAAAGCAAACACCTCTTCTATTTCTGAAGCTCCGCCGAGTGCAGATTTTTATAGAGGCTGGCATTAAGTTTCAAAGCACACTTGAATATTCACTAATAGAAGCTCCCTTCTTGCACTTCTAAGATCTTGATTAGTCCGACCTCTTCTCTCTTCAACACCTTTGAAAATGTCTGGCCCCTTCGACCGTCGTTTTGACTTGAACCTTGTTGAAGAGGCAGCCACGCCTTCTCCAGACAACATATGGCGCCCATCCTTCTTATCCCCTACTGGTCCTCTTACCGTTGGGGATTCCGTGATGAAGAATGATATGACCGCTGCGGTGGTGGCCAGGAACCTTCTCACTCCCAAAGATAACAGACTACTTTCCAAACGGTCTGATGAATTGGCTGTTAAGGATTCTTTGGCTCTGAGTATTCAGTGTGCAGGTTCTGTGTCTAATATGGCCCAACGCCTATTTGCTCGAACTCGCCAAGTTGAATCATTGGCGGCTGAAGTGATGAGTCTCAAACAGGAGATTAGAGGGCTCAAGCATGAGAATAAAGAGTTACACCGGCTCGCACATAACTATACTACAAACATGAAGAGGAAGCTTGACCAGATGAAGGAATCTGATGGTCAGGTTTTACTTGATCATCAACGGTTTGTGGGTTTGTTCCAAAGGCATTTATTGCCTTCGTCTTCTGAGGCTGTACCGTATAATGAAGCTCCAAATGATCAACCTCCGATGCCTCCTCCTTCTAGGGTTCTATCCAGTACTGAGGCTCCGAATAATCCCTCTCCGATGCCTTCTCTTTCTGGGGCTCTACCGACTGCTGAGACTTCTCCTAAGCAACCTTTGTGAAAGCTCCCTCTTGTTTGTTTATTTTGACTCATGTATATGTACATATTTGTAACTTATCGAAGATATCAATAAATAAGTTTTGCTTCATTTCCAACGTATTGTGTTAAATACACCAAAGCCTTCTTCACTGAGTGGGGTCGGCTATATGAATCTTAGAACGCCATTGTGCTCGATCCTGTGTCATGTCCTCCGTTAGATCCAAATACTCTAAGTCTTTTCTTAGAGTCTCTTCCAAAGTTTTCCTAGGTCTTCCTCTACCCATTCGGCCCTGAACCTCTGTCCCGTAGTCGCATCTTCTAACCAGAGCGTCAGTAGGCCTTCTTTGTACATGTCCAAACCACTGTAACCGATTTTCTCTCAACTTTCCTACAATTTTGGCTACTCCTACTTTACCTCGGATATCCTCATTCCTAATCTTATCCTTTCTCGTGCGCCCACACATCCAACGAAGCATCCTCATCTCCGCTACACCCATTTTGTGTACGTGTTGATGCTTCACCGCCCAACATTCTGTGCCATATAGCATCGCCGGCCTTATTGCCGTCCTATAAAATTATCCCTTGAGCTTCAGTGGCATACGGCGGTCACACAACACGCCGGATGCACTCTTCCACTTCATCCATCCAACTTGTATTCTATGGTTGAGATCTCCATCTAATTCTCCGTTCTTTTGTAAGATAGATCCTAAGTAGCGAAAACGATCGCTCTTTGGTATTTCCTGATCTCCGATCCTCACCCCTAACTCATTTTGGCCTCCATTTGCACTGAACTTGCACTCCATATATTCTGTCTTTGATCGGCTTAGGCGAAGACCTTTAGATTCCAACACTTCTCTCCAAAGGTTAAGCTTCGCATTTACCCCTTCCTGAGTTTCATCTATCAACACATTATCGTCTGCGAAAAGCATACACCAAGGAATATCATCTTGAATATGTCCTGTTAACTCATCCATTACCAACGCAAAAAGGTAAGGATTTAAGGATGAGCCTTGATGTAATCCTACAGTTATGGGGAAGCTTTCGGTAAGAGAAGATGCAGGTAATCCTCATAAGGCTAATACAGGACAAGTAGGTGAGAAATTTCAAGAATGCTAAGTAGTTAACAAATGGAAGCCAATATGAAACAGGCATGGAAGAATAATGTAACACACCATAAAATACCACTTAAATTTTAACTAACGTTTCAATGCTATATACAATGGAGCATAAACATAAAAATTAAGGAGGTGTCTGAGAATTGAAAGAAAGAAGCATAAGATGCCAACTATAAGTGCATCATATGCAATCATGATGGACAATGTGAAGGAATTCAGTCAAAGGTCATAAATTTCCACACTGAAAGCTTGAATTGGGAATTGTATCCACCTTAGCACAAAGAGATGCATGTTCCTTTCCAATAGACACAACCTTCTTCCTCAAAGCATCCACATTTCCCAACACCTGTAATTATCAAATAAAAAGTTGAAGACCGACCAGTTGATGAGAGTCTAATACCTGTCTGCATTCTCTTAGTGTCACAAAATAGTATAATTCAGTCCTGATGGAGATACAATCGGAAAACTAGTTTGAAAGGTATACATTAAAATCATTCACAAAGACAAGGAGAGAGAGCATGTTTTCCACATCATTATGAGAATATCAAGAAGTTATTCCAAATAACTTTTTACAGTAATAACATCCTTGATTTATTCTGCATTGAAAATTGGCCATGATTTGCTCCGTATGTACCTGTTCATAATTTCCATCCCCAAGAGTTAATTCAATAAGAGATCGTTCATAAGGGTGAAGACACTTTTTATTTGGAAAATTCTCGAATAAGTTCTCAATGGAATTGCCAGTTCCTGCAGAAGAAAACAAAAAGCTAGTCAGTAATCATTGAACAGTCTTTCATATAAAAACAGTACAAAAGAAAATATAATAAAATGTTAAATTTAAGTTAAGAACAAACTTTCATCAATGCATCAAGTTGCTTTGAACCTCTATTTCTTTCTCGCTTTGCAATATTGGCAATACCTGAAAATAAGATATCAAAATCATGGGCAGCAGACTAGCAGTAGGGGACCTACAAACCAAGTTCCCTGCAATTCTGATCTAATGTATTTTTGTTAAAATAGATATAATATAAATTCTCATTACAAATACCCTTTGTTGGTGTAATCCTCTTAGCCTTCCTTAGTGCCGAATACAGAATGTCAACAGATGGCATCACCATGGGTAGCTTTTGGAATGCACCAACATCTTCAAGATTTTCGGGTGATTTTTCCTAAAATTACAATATTGGGAACCATGGTACCATCATTACTTCCTCCAATATTTTTGTCCCAAAATAAATGAGTGGTAAAAGATGCAAGAAGGTATTCATCACAAAAATAAAATAAAATTTGATATAAGCGTGAAACTTATTTAAACTTGAGAGAACAATGCCCTTCCTGTTCTGTCACACTAGAATACCAAGTAAACAAATTGACAACAATCCACTAACATACAGCATTAAGATATTAAACTTGCTCAAGTTGTCAACAAGATCGATTATTTACTCAAAAGAACTCGTCATTGAAGCTATTCCTGCAACCTATCGTATGAGATGCACACCCAATAACAGCAGTCAGAAATTTCTAAATCCCAAACTTCAAAGACGTTATTCATGGTGGTCATTGATCAACAAAACCCAACTCCCTCGTTGACTGCTCCAGAAGGTCATACCCTTTTTGCAGCAATCATTTATGCTTAAATCCTGAATTTCGTGTTAATTTGCACTATACCCTGATACTTATTCATAGGATCTCTCCAACCTCTCGTACTCTCATCGTCCAATAAGAAAATGGTAGTAGTAGAAGTAATGAGGGAAGGTATTCATATATAATGTCAAAGACATATAGTTTGTAATAAGAACACAAGAGCAAACCAATTACTAACTCAATGCTCTTGAAATTATACTATTTCCATGAAACTAGAAAGTAATAATTACACAATGTTAAACCTTCGCTTCCTTATTCTTTTCCCTTTTCCGGACCAATTTATAATTTCATATCATTTCTTGCTTTGCTTCACTCGCTAGTAATTTATCCTTATGTACGGTTAGATGTGCCCATTCCATGAGACCAAACAAATACAGATACAACAACAACAACAACAACAACAAAGCCTTTTCCCACTAAGTGGGGTCGGCTATATGAATCCTAGAACGCCATTGCGCTCGGTTTTGTGTCATGTCCTCCGTTAGATCCAAGTACTCAAGTCTTTTCTTAGGGTCTCTTCCAAAGTTTTCCTAGGTCTTCCTCTACCCCTTCGGCCCTGAACCTCTGTCCCGTAGTCGCATCTTCTAACCAGAGCGTCAGTAGGCCTTCTTTGTACATGTCCAAACCACTGTAACCGATTTTCTCTCAACTTTCCTACAATTTTGGCTACTCCTACTTTACCTCGGATATCCTCATTCCTAATCTTATCCTTTCTCGTGTGCCCATACATCCCACGAAGCATCCTCATCTCCGCTACACCCATTTTGTGTACGTGTTGATGCTTCACCGCCCAACATTCTGTGCCATACAACATCACTGGCCTCATGTCCTCCGTTAGATCCAAGTACTCAAGTCTTTTCTTAGGGTCTCTTCCAAAGTTTTCCTAGGTCTTCCTCTACCCCTTCGGCCCTGAGCCTCTGTCCCGTAGTCACATTTTCGAACCGGAGCGTCAGTAGGCCTTCTTTGCACATGTCCAAACCACCGGAACCGAGTTTCTCTCATATTTCCTTCAATTTTGGCTACTCCTACTTTACCTCAGATATCCTCATTCCCAATCTTATCCTTTCTCGTGTGCCCATACATCCCACGAAGCATCCTCATCTCCGCTACACCCATTTTGTGTACGTGTTGATGCTTCACCGCCCAACATTCTGTGCCATACAACATCACTGGCCTTATTGTCGTCCTATAAAATTTTCCCTTGAGCTTCAATGGCCTACGACGGTCACACAACACGCCGGATGCACTCTTACACTTCATCCATCTAGCTTGTATTCTATGGTTGAGATCTCCATCTAATTCTCCGTTCTCTTGCAAGATAGATCCTAGGTAGCGAAAATGGTCACTTTTTGTGATCTTCGCTAGATTGTTCCGGTCATTAGTGTGGATAAGTATATAAATGGATAGAGATAGGAAAGCAAACACAAGATGTACATGGTTCACCCAGATTGAATACGTCCACGGAATAGAGTAGTTCTCATTAATTGCGAAGGGTTTACATAAGTACATAGGTTCAAGCTCTCCTTTAGTGAGTACAAGTGAATGATTTAGTACAAATGACATTAGGAAATATTGTGGGAGAATGATCTCGTAACCACGAAACTTCTAAGTACCGGAGTGTGGTATCGTCTTGACTTGCCTTATCTGTCTCATAGGTAGATGTGGCATCTTCTCTGGAAGTACTCTTCCTCCATCCAGGGGTGGTATCTGTAACTGGTGGAGATGCACAAAGTAATGTATCAAATTCACTTGAAGCTTACTTGTAGTTTCAGGCTTGGTCAAGCGCGATACAAACCATGTAGTAGGAGTTCCCCAAGTCACCGAGCTAGGGGATCTGCTGAAAGAGGTGACAGACAAGGTAAGCAATCAGAGCTCCGGCTGATTGTTCACATTCTCCCTATCTTGCAGGCAGCATGAAGGATAAAGAGAAGAAAAATGAGAAGAGATGATATGGGATACTTTTGCTTTTGAAGAAGTAACTTTCCATGGGCTTATTCTTGAACTGGGCTGGAGGGTTTTCTGGTTTCCTCCAGAGTATAAGGCCGACTGAAGAATTTGAGGGTCAAAACAAGTCCATCGAATCTAGAGTATGTTCGACCCTGCTGATATGTGATACTTTTGCTTTTGACAGAGTAGTGGATGTATCAGCACGTGTGCTGTTACGCTTGTCTCCACATGCTTCCTGGTATCCTTCTCACTTGCCCTATCTGTTCCTTAGGCAGATGCGGTATCTTCCCTGGAAGAATAAGATGTTGAAGATGAGTACTCGAGAGCAATGCCAGGTAAGTAATCAGGTAAGGGGTTCCAGGCAGTCAGTTCCTGGCTGGAAGCTTGATTTCAAGTGCTGACTGATTGCTCTCTTTCTCCTTGTCTTGCAAGTAAGAACAAGGCCAAAGGAAAAGATAGGGAAAAGCATGATATGGGATACTCTTGCTTTTAACCCTGATGATATGAGATATTCTTGCTCTAGTATAGCTTGTTTACAGAGGTATTATCGGGGGGAAAGAAAGATGAATATTTCGAAAGGCTTCGTTGGGAGTGCCCTCTCATATAAGAGGAAGGGTTGAGCATTTTTGCAGGTCTGCCTGTCCGTTGGGGATGGAGGTCGACATATATAGGAGTCTCCTTAACATCAAGTAATAATATTATTCCTTTACCCTGCTTGGTCATAGCACGGTAGTGGGAGCTGCCAGCTTCACATGTTTTAACTCTGTCAGAGCACTTTGAAAAAAGTGGTCTGTGGTATCGGGAAATCTGATGTTGCGTGTGAAGATTACAGACAAGCTTTATCCAAGGAGATCCAGCTCTTAAAGTTGGGAAAGTAGTGCCTCTTCGGTTTTCAAACAAGCAATCTTGTCGGGGATCTGGCTCTCGAGATTCGGAGAACGATGCCTCTTCGATTTTTGAGAAAGCAATCCTGCTAGGGGTCTGGCTCTCGAGATTCGGAGAGCGGTGTCTCTTCGATTTTTGAGAAAGTAATCATGTTGGGAGTCTGGCTCTCGAGATTCAGAGGGCGGTGCCTCTTCGATTTTGGAGCAAGCAATCTTGTTGGGAGTGTTTTCTCGAATGTGAGTAAAGGTTGGGCATGTTTGCTAGTCTACCTTGCCACGAAGCACAGAGGTTGACACATCGTGACTTTCTAATTATCCAGCAGTGGTACTGTTCCTTTACCCTTGTGGGTAATAATATGGTAGCTAGACCTTCAAAATTTATGTGTCTAAACTTTGTTAGTGTTGTTTCTTTGCTATTCTTTTACCCTTCTTGGTCAGAGCGATGTAGTAGAAGCTGCAAGCTTCACGTGTCTCAACTTTGTCAGAGAACTTTGGCAAAGTTATCTGTGGTACCCATGAGCTACTGTTTTCTCCGTCTGAGCAATTCCTTGCACCAAGTCTCCAAGGTCTTCCCAAAATTTCTCCTTCGAACTCGTATCCAACCCTACTTGAGGTGCGTACGCACTAATCACATTGATAAGTTCTTGTCCTATTACAATCTTGATTGCCATGATTCTATCTCCTACCCTTTTGACATCTACAACATCTTGTGTCAAGGTCTTGTCCACGATGATGCCAACACCGTTTCTCGTTCTATTTGTGCCCGAATACCATAGTTTAAACCCTGAGTTTTCTAGATCATTTGCCTTACGACCAACCCACTTAGTTTCTTGTAGGCACATAATATTTATCCTTCTCCTCACCATAACTTCTACTACTTCCATAGATTTTCCCGTCAAGGTTCCTATATTCCACGTTCCTAAACGCATTTTGTTCTCTTGAACTCTACCCTTCTGTCCTAGCTTCTTCACCCTTCCCCGTCTAATAGGATCAAAGTACTTCTTTTGTGTGTCCCGTGTAAAGTTGATAGGAGCATATGCTCCCAAACAACTTTGAGTGGAGTCGTTCGAAAAGAAGTTTCTATGGCCCCCTTGCTCATTTAACACTGCATCCGGGTGCCGATGGAGATACAGCGACCCTTGCTTACTTATCACTGTGCTCGGGCCACACAGCGCGCCACTTACGGGTGACGCCCTAGCTTTAGCGCGATTTCATTCTGGATTCATTTTCATAAGGATTCGACGTAATCATGGAGTGCCGGCTGTCGACTACCTGACACCCTCCCCCTCCTCCTTTATCCGGGCTTGGGACCGGCAATATAAGATAAACTTACACGGCGGAGTTACCAAACAAATACAGATACCAAGGAAAAATACCTTCTATTTGCTTTCCCGTTCTACAACGGCTGACGGTACATAGCTTCCCTTGACAACTTCGTATGTGCTAGTTTGTATTTCCTTGCAGAAGCACAGAACCGGATAATTTCTAGCACTCGGTATCAAGTGAGGACCTGCATTAAGATTCAAATCATTTCAGAAAACAGTAATGGCAAAAAAAAAGAGTTTCAGGAACTAATTAATGGCAGTAATCAAGAAGCAAGCATGGATTCCATAGCCAATAAAGAAAACCTTTTGAGAGAGAGAGAGAGAGAGAGAGAGAGAGAGAGAGAGAGAAAACCTTTTGAAATTTTGGAGAGTGTGAGTGGTAATCTGTTAGGGGTCTGCCACAATTGGAAGAGACTGCAAGCCCTGCTCATCATTTTCCCTGCTCAATCAATCCACCTTCTCAGGTATTTGTTCCATGAAAAACAATGTTCAACTGATAAGATAGGTTTTTGAGGTTTAGAGAGCTGCTAAACCATCCTGTTGTCTTATTTTTAGGCGAATTTGAACCTCTTCGTCTTAAAGGTTAGTTCGACTCTCGTGGATCATGAAATCGATACTAAATTATGTTGCTTATTGTGTGGTTTAGACGAATTCCTTATTTTTAGTGTAAAAATATCAATGTTAAAAAAAAATAAAAAAAATAAACCTCACTTTATAATTTCACCTACCTTAAAAAAATTTAAAAATTTAAAAATTAAAAGACACACCCCGACCGAGATCAAAGCATGTTGGCCGTCACGTGAGAGTAACGTAGCCATGTGCACAATGCAAAAGCAATACTAATAAGAAATATATGAATAATTTAAAACCAAACTACTAGAGTGCACTACTAAACATGAAGTGTTAGGAGTAATATACAGAAGTAAACACTCCTAATCAGAGCATAGAAAGTCTAGGTGCCGTCCAGTAGGATAAGTATTATACAGTACCATAAGATGTCCTACAATTATTTAGATGTGTCAGAACCGCCGAAGTTCTCGCACTCAGCAATTGCAAACTTATCTAAAACCTGGAGGGGCACAAAACAGAAAACGTGAGTGGGCAAAAACAAATGTTTTACAAAATCATTTCATTTATCAACATATTTAACCCTTCGCTGTAAAACATATATAATTTATCCCAGAATCAGAATATAAGCATATACATAATCAGATATGAAATATATCAACTCAATCCATACTTCACATAATCATATTCATATGTATGACATGCCAAGATATAACAAAGTAAGCAATTTAGGTAAGAATAATTTCATAGAAATATAACATGTTAGCCGGAACCCCTGTGGTAGTCTGTACGTCTAAATTCATAGCTCAAAAGTCACTATAGCCGGAGTCACTACAATGACCTATACGGCAACATACTGCACAAGAGTTGGAACCAAATAAAAAGGTTTGTAGGACAATAATAGGTGTAATATAATCATGCTCAATACTACTTTCACATAATAGATAGGCGATAAATCACTAGTCACCTATGAGTCGGAACCATAAATAAGGTCTGTACGACAAAACTATGCACCTAAATTGGATCCAGTATGAGCATATGGTGCGGGAGGTGACATAATAAACAGGCAAGTGCCATAACTCTGGCTAAATTACAATCACCCTAAGTGCAGTCTTATGAGCTCAACATAATTCAATCACATATCACATCATCGATGATTCACATAACCAAACATAACTTACCTGAGCTTACCTAAGCGTCCATAGCACCACAATTATATATATAACGCATCACATACCAATTCATATATGAATTATAAACTTATATGCATGGCATTTATGGCATACTATCATTTAAACACATATTTCTAGGAAAATATCAAGTATATAATATATACTGAAAACCAAAAGCCCACTCACTGGTAAGTCGAAGGGTCGTAGCCCCCGAGTCGCCCTTGGATACGCTCGACATCGGGATAAGTCTCACCTATATGCGAACTAACTATAAAAACATTATTTTAGAGCACATAGACAAAACTAACTAATAACTTCTCATACATAGCTCAAATTGGGTATACGAATATACCACAATGACCTACATAACCTTAGGATCATCCCCAAATTTTTAGAATAATTTTTCATCCACCCACGCGCCGCCACGCACCGACAAGTGCACAGCAAGACTCGCGGCCACGCGCAGGGAATCCTGATGGATTCTCTAACTGCCGTTAGGAATATTCCCTGAAATATTCCTTTAAAACCCAACGGTAACCGTTAACCCTAACTGACGACGTTAGCATATTCCGTCAAAACTGACGGAATATTCTCCCTTCTTCTCCGGTGAGTCGCCAGTTTCTGGGTAAAACTTTAAAACCACTATTCAAGTTTCTTTGTCTTTGGTGCAAGAAGTGTTCTCGTTCTTGTCACACCCAAAAATTTGATATGGTGGCTATTAGAATGGCCAAGTTGCCGTTGTTTTATGTTTTGAGTCCTTTTTGTTTAAGGATCCTTCAAATTTAATCCATAATGCACTATTTGAAGTTTGTACTTTTTCTTAAAATGCTAATAAAATCATTATAGTTTTGCCCTGAAGAATAAATAAGTACATAAAAAGTTTGCAAATAGTAATAACTAAAAAATTAGGGTAGAAGCGTAAAAAAATTAGTGGTTGTTAAAATCTTCTAGAGTATAAATAGAATTAAAATATAGGGAGCCTTACTTATAGAGACACAAATATATATCATATTTCACACAACTCCACACCTTTTAAAACATTACAAAGAGGGACAAAAAACCCAATAACAGAAAACCAAGCCCAACCCAAAAAGAAACGGACCGACTAAAATTACAACCTATGCCACTCGACTATAATTGTTAATAAAGGGCCACGTTAACCACTACACGACAAAAATCATTAAAACCAACCGGTTTCTTCCCATTTCCCATTCAATACTTGCATTCCTCTTCCCCAAACCTATCATTTCAAATTCCCTCTCATGCAAAAGATACTTCCCCAGACAAAGAACCCTAAAATCTCCATAGTTTCCGAAACTTTCAAGTCGAATTTTCAGTGATTCACAAAGTTCAGCCGGATGTCCAGAAAGATTAGTGTTTCAAAGGTTTTCCTACTACTCAAAATCGTCCTTTCAAATTATTATAATTCAAACTCTGTAACAAACGAATGCATTATCAAACTTTTGGATGTATTATCAAGTGTTTTTGCACTTGAATTTGCAAAAGAAAACTGTAAAAAAACGCGTGCATTATCATGACACACCCCGACCCGAATCAGGGCATGCTAGCCGTCATGTGAGGGTGACGTAGCCATGTGCACAATGCAGAAGCAATAATGATAATAGAGAATATGATTAATTAAAAACCAATTCATAAGAGTACCATCTAAGATGAGTACTAGAATATGTGTGAATTCACAAATTAGCCTAAGTTCAGTCCAGAAAACAAGTACTAATTAAATGACACCCAAAGATGCCCTACATTGGTGATAGTCTGTCAGAACCTCCAATCAATCCTCGTGAGCCACCAACGAACAAGCTTATCTAAAACCTGGAGGTGCGCAAAACAGAAAGTGTGAGTGGGCAAAAACAAGCTTTTCAAAATCATTTCATTATCAAATGCTCTAACCCCTCGCCGTAAAACATGTATAATTTTCCCATAAATAGAATATATATATATATATATATATATATATATATATATATATATATCAATTCATGCTTCACATATCCATATTCATAAGTATGCCAAGCCAAAATATAAAACAGAATAAGTAACTCAGGTGAAAATAAATTCATGGAAAAATAACATATTAGTCAGAACCCCTGCAGAAGTCTGTACGGCTGAATTCATAGCTCATTAGTCAATCTAGCCAGAGTCACCACAAGTGACCTATACGGCATTACACTGCACATAAGTCGGAACCATTATAATGGTCTATACGAAAAGACTGGGTGTAATATAGTTATGCTTAATGCTACGCTCTCATGATAGTTGTACGATAATTCGCTAGTCACCTATGAGTCAGAACCACTTATGATGGTATGTACGACAAGACTGTGCACCAAATTGGATCCAATGTGAGCATATAGTGCGAGAGGTGACATTATAAACAGGCATGTATCATATCTCTGACTAAATCACAATCACCCGGGGTGCAGGTTATGAGCTTTATGCTTCTCAAATAATCACAACCGTTATTCACATTCACAATTCATAAACTCACCTGAGCTTACCTGAGCATCCACAACACCACAATTATATATTATGCATCATATACTAATTCATATGTTGAATATAAATTTATATGCATGGCATTTCAAAGCATACTTTCATTTAAACGCATTTTCTGGGAAAATATCAAGTATATAAAAATATATATATTAAAACTCAGTTTCGGTTACTGTTCATTAACAGTGATTTGACGAAATTGACCTCGGTTTCTTCTTTGTTCTGCTTACTGTTTCCACTTTTCTACAGTGGAAAGTCGGTTATGCCCTTCTGCGTCTTTCATCGTTTCTTTCTCTGCTTTGATCGCATCGTTTTTACTTTACCTTTTCTCTTCGTTTTTTCATCTCCGTTGCTCTGCGATTTTCTCCTTCATCGCTCCCTCTTTTGCTGCCAAATCTTTGCTCTTTCTTCGCAAAATAGTCTCAAAAGAGATCCTGACTTTAATTTTATTGGGGATTTGGTTTCCGGTCTTCTCCAGTGTCGAACCCTTTGTTGGTTAGCGTTTTGTTCTCATCTTGCCATCGTTGGGATCAAAATTTTAAGGTCAGTTTGTTTTCAACGTTTGATCTTTATTTTTTGATCTCTAGGGTAAGAAATTTAAGCTCTTTGTTTCTGTTTTTTATTTTTTTTGCGGATCTGGAGGTTGGGACAAATTTTTTTGTCAAATTGGAGGCTGATCATGTGCTACCTCTTCAGATTATTGATAAAGAAATTATATTGAGCTTAGGTATGTTTAAAACAACTATGTGCAATTTTTTATTCTTAGTTTGTGTTTATTTGAAATGAGCCTTGCCAAATTGGTTTTATCTGTTGTGTTTACGATGGTTCTAATAAATTGGTTTTCCACGTGAGTAATTTTTTGGTCCAGAATTGTATATGTTTGGAAGAAAGTCTGATATAAGTTGAGTTGGTAATGTTTTTTCGCTTTGCTTCTGATTGGTGTGTGTGGTTGCTTCAGATCTTAATCGTTTTTTAAGAAGGGAGACTCGATTTGTTCTGATTGGTGTGTGGGGTTACTTCAGATTTTAATCGTTTTTTAAGAAGAGAAACTCAGTGTGCTTTCCACTTATTTTTTGGAGTTGTCTTCGTTATTGGTTTGAGTCAGTGATGATGAGCAAGGAAAAAGCTTTGAAAAGGAAAGTATTCAAAATTGGTTAAGGGTTTTACAAAAATTTAAAAGCTTAAATGCTTAAATACAGCTTTCTTTAGATTAGTATGTAGAAATCAAAAGGCTTTGAAAGGCAGAGTGTTTAAAATCATTTGAAGCTTTTAGTTTAAAATCATTTGAAGCTTTTACAAAGGTTTGAGAGCTTTAGTGATTAATTAGAGCTTAATTATGAATTCAACCATATGTTGAGTTAAATTAAACAATGATGTAATGCTGAATTAAGGTGTGTGATTCAATTACCATTGTGAAAATTAGCACTTTTTATATTGGGGATTAAGAACATTGATGGTGGCAATTTTTCTGAATGGTGAGGTATTTCGTTTGCTTTCGTTGTCAAATAGCGTTCTCACATGGGTGGAGAACAATACATATATTGTATATGGTAGATCAATAACAAACACTCTGTTTGGTTCTAATTTTTGGATAATTTGGTATTATTCCAAAGATAATGCAGACCAGAAACTGTTAACTCTTATTTATTAAATAGATGTATCAAATATGTTTTGCATGGCAAAGATCATATCAGTTTGGTTAATGATACAACTATTCCAGCTTTTCTTAATTGAATGGAGTGTATTGCAGGTCATTATGCTCCTTTTGCTTCCAAAGTTTTTGAACCTGACCGAAGTCAGTTTGCTGAATCGCTTTTGCGTGTTAGTGATGTATGATTTTCTTTTTTGCACAAACATGATGAAAAACTGAATTTGACTTATTTGATTTTGGGTTTTTGTTGTTCCTGTTGCTAATTTTGTGTTTTTTTTTTTCCAGTTACTAGAACAAAACTGTACCATTTGTTATTTCTATATGTTTATTCCTTCCTGTAAATACGATGAAGACACATACATGTTTGTAAAACATTTTTCAAATTTTATGCATGCGCTTTTAAAACATGCGGCAACGCGCGGGCAAGATTGCTAGTATATACTAAAAACCAAAACCCCACTCACTGGTATGTCGAAGGGTCGTAGCCCCCGAGTCGTCCTTGAATGCGTTCGTCCTCAGGATCAGTCTCTCCTATATGCGAAACAACTATAAAAATGTTAATTTAAAGCACATAACCAATACTAGCTAATAACTTCTCATACAATGCTCAAATGGGGTGTTTGAATATACCAACGTGATCTACACAACCTCACGAACATCCCCATATTTTTAGAAAAATTTTCCGACGTCCCACACGCAGGGAAGCCTAATGAAATCCCTACTGCCGTTAGGAATATTCCGTTAAAATAAAGGAATATTTCGTCCAAATTACCTGACGTCGTTACCCTCAGTTAAGAATATTCCGTCAACTTTGACGGAATATTCTTCTTTATTCTCTGGTGAACCTCGTCAGTCGTCGCCGTCGTCGGAAAACTAGAAAATTCAAAAACCTTCATATCTGGTCCAATTCTCAACCAAATTCCTTGAAACTTGAACCAAATTGAAGCTTGGGACGAATATAACACAATCTTACCAATTTCAAGCTTTAAAAATCACGGGATCTCGCCGGAGAAAGCACGATAGTTTCGACCAAATTTCAAACTCGCTAAACTCGACTTCCCAACGTCCAAAACACCTCGTTTTTCTTCTCCGAGCTTCGTGAAGACGTTCTAAAGCTTCCAAAAGGTTAAAATCTTCTGAAAACTTCACATTTACGTGTACATGAACAATACTTCAAATTTGGGTTCTCAGGTTCTCGGGAGATCAAAGGTTTCACGTCCAAAGAAAGGTATGGATGGTTCGTGACGATGAGATGAAGATGTTGATGGTGTCTACAAGCTCAATCTGTGAAGAAATGGGTTGGTTTGAAGATCGTCCGTACAATTGTACATATAATGAAGAAAATCCGAGAGGGAGGAGAGAGAGAGTGTGTGTGTGTATGTGGTCCACGGGGGTCACCAACCAAAACCAAAGAAAATATCATCTAAGTCCTAATTGGTTCCAAATTAATAAGACTTAGCACTAATTGGTCCAAAATCTAACCTACCACACCACCACACAAACTGTCCAAGGGTATATAAGTAATTTTACACTGTCGAAAATAAATATTTCGGGACAGGCTGTCACATATCAAGTATTTTTTGCACTTGATTTTACCAAAAAATTTTAATGTTCCAGTTCGTGAAAAACCAATTTCAATGTTTTAGATGTTTCAAGCTTTTTTAGTTTATATGTATACTAATTGTTAAACATCTGAATAAGAAAATGAATATGCATCTAAATTTTGTGAGTAAAAACATTAACCGTCTATCTTGATGCTGCAGTTTGAATTAATGCTGCACTTTGTACTTATGCTGCACTTTGTAAATTAATTCTGGTTCTACTTTCTGTTTGTAAATTGATTATGCACAATTATGCATCTACTTTGTACTCATGCTGCACTTTGTAAATTAATTCTGGTTCTACATTTTATTTGTAAATTGATTCTTAATCATATGAAAAAGAAAATAAATATGCGTCTAAATTTTGTAAGCAAAAACATTGACCGTCTAGCTTTGATGCTGCACTTTGAACTGATCATGCACTTTGTTTATACCATACTTGACCAATCCCAAAACTATCGAGCACCGATCAACGTTATACCGTCAAGGACCCAGAAAAGTTTCCCTTCAACCAGGAGGTCAATTACAGCGCAACACGTGTCGACATCAGAAGCCAACATAGCGCGACACGTGTCAACATCAGAAGCCAATCACAACACAACACGTGTCAATGTCAGAACAAAGTTAGAAACTCTCTTTTATAAAAGGAGATCATTCTTCCACAATATTTCCTAATGTCATTTGTACTAAATCATTCACTAGTACTCACTAAAGGAGAGCTTGAACCTATGTATTTGTGTAAACCCTTCACAATTAATGAGAACTCCTATACTCCGTGGACGTAGTCAATCTGGGTGAACCACGTACATCTTGTGTTTGCTTCCCTATCTCTATCCATTTACATACTTATCCACACTAGTGACCGGAGCAATCTAGCGAAGGTCTCAAACTTGACACTTTCTGTTGTATCAAAGTCCTCACCGATTTTGTGCATTAACACACTTTGAACTGATGTTGCATTTTGTAAATTAATTATGGTTCTACTATCTATTTGTAAATTGGTTTTGCACAATTATGCATCTACATTGTGCATTAACAACCAATTCTGCATCTACCTTATTTGCTAAGTGATGTTACATCTACTTGTGCGTTAAGTGATGCTGCATCTACTTGTGCGTTAAGTGATGATGCATCTACTTGTTTGCTAAGTGATGCTGTATATAGCTTGTGTGCTTAGTGATGCTGCATATAGTTTGTGTGCTTAGTGATGCTACATCTAGCTTGTGTGCTAAGCATCTGCCCTTTGCATCTAGTTTGTCATTTATATGACTTCTTATTATTTGATAATTTATTATACTCATGATCATTTCATTTTTTTTATGAAGATGACGACAAAAGTAAAACATTTTTCAATAAAAAAGAAATCAGCTTCTCCTGCCGTAAAGCGTTGAGCAGCAGATGAGAACTATGCTCAAATAAGACTAAATCTCTTGGCCTTTGCAGAACTAATAAAAGAGCTCAAGCCAAAACTTGAAGAAAAACCATAAGTCTTAGCATTCATATATAAGTCACCCTTTGGCAGATTAGTGAAAACTTATATAAATAGTGAATTACAAATGAAAAAAGCAAACTAGGATGTCATACATATAGTGAACTTGTATGACACTAAAAATGGAATGTTCAAATTCAAAAATGGATATTGCAAAGTAAATGCTGATGATGTTTAATGCATATTTGGGATCCCAAACTGAGGCAGAGAAGTCCCTCAGTCAACAAGCGACTCCAGAATCCCAAAGCTGAAAGAAAACAGATTTGTGATAAATACTTATCAGAAATGACAAGAATTGGTAAAAGAGAAATTGCACAAGCAATTCAAGTTGCATTAGATACTGAGACAACAGAAGGGGATCAAGATACAGCCTGCCTTATAATTCTCTATTTCTTAAACACAAATCTGCTTGAAAGCTCAGCGGAGAAGCTCACTTGGAGTTTGGCCAAGAATTCCAACTCCATCGATAACATAAATTAGTACAATTGGGCAAAGGAAACAACAAGATACTTAATGGAATCAATCGATAGAACACAAAAGAGAAAAAGAGACAAACAACCAACCGTCAGTGGCGCTGTTGTATTTTTACTGGTAAGCAAACAAAAACTAATAAAGAAAATCAGTTTTTGTCTTATTTTATAAAAATATACACATCTCTAACTTTTATTTTGTCTACAATATTGGATTTGTGATCACACCACAATCATCAACCCAATAGAAGGAAAGGAGAAATGCTCACTAACCACAATGAAGTGGGATTTGTCAAATCTACATGAAAAAATCTATAAAGAAGCAAATGAAGATTTGGAGGTAAAACTGATGCTACATATAATTTTATGTAAAACATGATTCTACATGTACTTTGTGTGAAAAGATATTCTGCATGTGCCTGTTATGTGTTGTTTTCAAACAAATTATCAAAAAACATAACTCTTTAACCTTTCACAGATGGACAATGCAAAACAAATTAAGGAGTCAATTCAACAGCTCCTAGAAGATGATGATGATAACTTTGTCGATCCTCCACCTGCATAAAAAAAAAAAGGAAAATGGAAAAGAAAGTAGCTAAGGGACCAAATGCCAAGAAAGCTAAACCGTCAAAACAATTAGTGCTTCAATATGAAGATCCTAAAGAAGTTGAAACGGTAGTGAGACCTGAGCAAGTAGCCAATAATGATGAAACCGTAGTGGCACCTCAACTTCTTAAAGGTGATGCTGATGATGACATGATTGATGTTTAGTAGCAAGAAGAGGATGATGATGAAATAAATGTTTTAGATGTGTCGAGAAAAGGTAATGATTAAACAGATGAAGAATTTCAAATGACACTATCTGCATGGATGATAAAAACATGAAGCCAAGATAAACTAAAAAATCAAGACGATGACTCAGCGAGACAAAATGGTAAATCCAAAAACAAGCTAATTTAGCTTAAAATTTCTGTTTATATTTTATATAAAATCATACGTTTGCTATAAAAAAAATTAAAATGACATCAACTGAATGATTTTGGTATAACTGATGCTGCATACTAATTCTGGTATAAGTAATAATGTATGCTAAAAATTTATATAATCTGGTTTAATTGATGCTGCATACTAATTCTGGTATAACTGATGCTGCATACTAATTCTAGTATAACTGATCCTGCACATTATTAAGTTTGGTATAACTGATGCTGCATACTAATTCTGGTATAACTGATGCTGCATACTAATTATGGTCTAACTGATACTCAGTGATAAATGTTCGGTGATAAAATGATTCTACACTAATCATTAGACTCCATATAAAATAATAATTATGCATACTGAATGAAAGCTTCATACTAATTCTGGTATAACTAATGCTCAGTGATAAATGTTCAGTGATAAAATGATTTTACACCAATCATTAGATTCCATATAAAATAATGATTATGCATACTGAATAAGTCTGCTATAACTAATATTGCATACTGAAGTTATATTCTTCCATAAATCAAGTTGTATTTTTAGTCTGCTTTAATTGATGCTGCATACTAATTATATTCTTTCATAACTAATGCTGCATCAATCTATTTTAACTGATGTTGCATGCTAATTATGCAAACTTATTTTACAGATACAATTATGGTGTATTTGTGATGTACTACATCTAAAAAATAGCAAAAGGCAAAAATATGAAAAAATGTTTAACCAAGTAGGAAGTCAACTATGTGTACCGTGATGTTGCATCTCAAAGAATACATCATAGATTCAGTTGGAGTATGAAGTTTGAGGAGTAAAAACAAGCAGCTGAAGTAAAGGACAAACAAAAACCATCTTAAACCAAGAAAAAAAAAAGTTGGACTGCTAACATTTCAAT